GCTTTTCTGGAACTCAAAGCGCTTTACACAATGGGGGGGGATCTCCTCATCCACCACCAGTGTGCAGCATCCTACTGGATGACACGACGGCAGCCATTTTGCGCCAGACCGCACACCACAAACCAGCTGATTGGTGGAGAGGAGACAGTGATGCAGCCAATTGGAATATGGGGATGGTTGGGAGGCCATGATGGACAGAGGCCAGTGGGCAGATTTGGCCAGGATGCCGGGGTTAAACCCCTACTCTTTTCGAAGGACATCCTGGGATGACCACAGAGAGTCGGGACCTCGGTTAAAAGTCTCATCCGAAAGACAGCGCTCACTGAGCAGTATAGCGTCCCCGTCACTGTACTGGGGAATCAGGACCCACGCAGACCGCAGGTTGGGCGCCCCCTGCTGGCCTCACTAACACCACTTCCGACAGCAACCTAGCTTTCCCATGTGGTCTCCCATCCAGGTACTGACCGGGCGCAGCCCTGCTTAGCTTCAGTGGGCAACCATGTGAGAGTTGCAGAGAGCCAGCTACACACCAAACTGCCTTCAGATCAATGTATTTCAACAGCTTTAAAGGGTTTTTACAGTGTTTAACATATATTTTCAGGTTGTACTTCTTTTCTTTTCTTTGGTAAAAGTTGAAGTACTGTTGTACTTTTGTACTAGTGTCATTTTAAACATGAGTATCTGTACTTCTACTTGCGTAAAGGATGCGTGTACTTTTGCCATCTCTGCTTATGCACCCCATTGAAACACCATCATGACAAATCACTTCCTCGGTGCATAAAACAACTGAGATCTGACTTCCAGTTGTGCTCTGTTTCTCGGCTGTGTGAGCGAGCAGGTGCTGGAGTGGATCTGGAGGTCAGCAGTCGTGCTTCAGCTCCCAAATATAGAGCGTCCGTGTCACCGTCTGCAAGATGCGGATCTCGTATCAGGCCAGAGTCCGCCCTTACACTGCCGTCTTTATCTGAGCTCCACAGACTGGCATTCAGAGCCGGATCATGTGTGTAGTGTTGTCTGTCTGTTGTCTGTACACTCACCTGAAATGTAAAACCGACTTGCGACCCCGAGCGCGACCTCTGACCTCCCTTCCTCTCGGCAGATATGAGACTCCTGCTAATACGGAGTGTGTTTGTGCACATGTTGGTTTGGAGTAGCTAAAGCTTCCGTGTTGATCACGTTACGGTGGTATAAATGTTACCGGTAACAGGAGGGTCTCGACCAGGAGTGAACACGTATGTAAGATAAAGAAATTGAGTGTGTGCGAATGCATTTACCTGAGCGGGTATCGCTGTCCAGCGTGCATTAGCTCATATTAACCAGCAATCCTCGATCACTGAAAATCTGCAGGAGGACACAGAATATTTGTTTTATAGTTAACAAGACTTTATGTGACCACAAAACCAGTCATAAATGTCCATTTCTTTTTGAAAATTACGTTTATACGTCACCTGGAATCTGAAAAATAATTAGATGATAGAAATAATCTTTACAGTGATGTATTGTTATGATAGGATAATATCTGACCTCGATACTATTTAGAATCTGAGGGATAAAATCAAATCCAAATACATAGAAAATCTACTTTAAATTTGTCTACACTCAGCGGCCACTTTATTAGGTACACCCATCGAACTGCTTGTTAACACATTTCTAATCAGCCAATCACATGGCAGCAACTCAATGCATTCAGGCATGTAGGCATTGTCCAGACGATCTGCTGCAGTTCAAACCAAGCCTCAGAATGGGGAAGAAAGGTGATTTAAGAGACTTTAAATGTGGCATGGTTGTTGGTGCCAGAAGGGCTGGTCTGAGTATTTCAGATACTACTGGGATTTCCACACACAACCATCTCTAGGGTTTACAGAGAATGGTCTGAAAAAGAGAAAATATCCAGTGAGCGGCAGTTGTGGGCGAGAATGCCTTCATGATGCCAGAGGTCTGAGGAAAATGGCCAGACTGGTTTCAGCTGATAGAAAGGCAGTAATTCAAATAAGCACTCGTTACAGCAGAGTTCTGCAGAAAAGCATCTCTGAACACACAACACGTCCAACCTTGAGGCGGATGGGCTACAGCAGCAGAAGACCACACCGGGTGCCACTCCTGTCAGCTAAGAACAGGAAACTGAGGCTACAATTCACACAGGCTCACCAAAATTGGACAATAGAAGATTGGAAAATCGTTGCCTGATCTGATGAGTCTCAATTTCTGCTGCCACATTTGGATGGTAGGGTCAGAATTTGGCATCAACAATGTGAAAGCATGGATCCATCCTGCCTTGTATCAATGATTCAGGTTGGTGGTGGTGGTGTAATGGTGTGGGGGATATTTTCTTGGCAATCTTTGGGCCCATTGGTACCAATTGAGCATCGTGTCAACGCCACAGCCTACCTGAGTATTGTTGCAAACCATGTCCATCATTTTATGACCACAGTGTACTCATCTTCTGATGGCTACTTCCAGCAGGATAACGCACCATTTCATAAAGCGTGAATCATCTTAGACTGGTTTCTTGAACATGACAATGAGTTCACTGTACTCAAGTGGCCTCCACAGTCATCAGAACTCAATCCAATAGAGCACATTGGGATGTGGTGGAACGGGAGATTCACATCATGGATGTGTAGCCGACAAATCTGCAGCAACTGTGTATTAAGCAAATCTCTGAGGAATATTTCCAGTACCTTGTTGAATCTATATCACAAAGGATTAAGATAGTTCTGAAGGCAAAAGGGGTAACTCAATTCAGTACTAGTACAGTGTACCTGATAAAGTGGCCGGTGACTGTATGTAAGGCGCTTAGCAAAGCACATTATTATTCCAAAATTCATCTCTGATATATTGAGAGTAGAAATTTTACAATATATCTTGTTTGAACTTGATTTTAATTACATTTATTTTTTATTTTTTTGATGATGAATAAAAGTGACTTGTATGGCCCCATAAAGTAAAATAAGTTGCAGCTTACTACAAGTTACACCACAAAACATATAAATAAACAACTGATTGGTATAAGAGTCAGAAATAATGTGAAAAAAAGATTACTGGTAGCACAATAATTTACAAACATTTAGTTTAGTTCACCAACACCTCCACAACAAATCCAGCATGTGGTAATCACATCTCTCATTGTACACCAATGCTGGCCCTTTTTACACATTTTATGTATGTAAAAAAATGACTTATGTTCCCAAAATATGACATTTTTACAGGTTTTAGGTTACAAAAAAAAAAAAACTTAAAATTACTAGATATAAGCATTGTATAAACAATCTACTAGATTTTTGTTTACATTTCAAAACAAACAATCATTTATTCATTAATTTTCCTTCGGCTTAGCCCCTTTATTCATCAGGGATCACCACAGACCTCTAGACCTTTATAGAATTTGAAAATTAGTATGCGAGAAGTACCCAGATGACTTACTACTTCCGGCAAGATTCTAAAGTGTGCATCCCATGCATGCAGAGCTATCCCATGATGCCCCGTGAATCGATGCAACTGACGCAGGTAGGTCACGTGACCATGACAAAATGGCGGATGTAGTACGTCCGAATTCCATTCATACTGTTCACATTTATACTGTATAGTATGTACTTTTCTAACGGCCGAGTGGTACGTTTAAATTCAATTGCAGTACCTACTGAGTAGTAGGCGGTTTCGGACGCAGCCCATGTCATACGACACACACACAACCGGTTCCAGATCAAGACTGATTACACTCTCAAGTCTCTCAAGGACTGATTAATGCATTACATAAGGAGCACAAACACAGTCCCTGCTGAAAAATCCAGCTTAAACCAGCCTAGACTGGTTGCCTGGTTTTAGCTGGTCGCCCAACCTGGTTTTAGAGGGGTTTTGGCCACTTCCAGGCCCATTTCCAATCATTTCCAGCCTGGTCTTAGCTGGTCAGGCTGGGAGATGACCAGCTAAAATCAGCTTAGCCAAGCTCGGAGTCCAGCCTAAACCAGATATATCCAGCTTAAACCAGCAAAAAGGGTTTTGGAAATGGCCAAAACCCCTCTAAAACCAGGCTGGTCGACTAGCTGAAACCAGCCAACCAGTCTATGCTGGTTTAAGCTGGATTTTTCAGCAGGGGTTGCTGAGTCTTGTTATCAGTTAGTGACATTACAACACGTTTCCTTTGTCTTGCTTCCAGTGTTTTAAACCTTTGCTTTGTTTTGTTTGATTATTCCTGTGTGCTGCCTGCCTTCTGACCATTTGCCTGCTATTTCGACCACGACTCTGGATTGCCCTTATACAGCTGTTTGCTCCTGTGTTGATCATTGCTTGCCTGACCATCCTCACTAATAAAACCCTGCATTTGGATCCTCACCCCAGTTGTCAGTTTCTCATTCCTGGTTACAATAACACACAGAGCATGAAGATTTCATTCTCATGGGACACAAAATGAAGCTAATCTGAGGCGCGGCAGTGCGTTGAGAAAGCTGTTAAGGGTTATTGGCTGATTATTAGCTGCCTGATGCTGTTGATTTCTGATGTCATGTCACTGCATGTTTTCACCAAACGAATGAAGACAACATCTAATGTGAAACACAAGACTTCAGTCACAATTACATCAGCAGCAGTCACAAGTCAGTCAATGTAATCGAATCTGTGAACGAAAACCCTTTCAGAACAAGAGAGAGAACGATATGTTAGAGGCATTAGCTCTAACTCAATATGAGTAACAAGTGCAAGCCAAAAACAAATATTATGTGTACATTCATAGCTCTCTCACACACACACACACACACACACACACACACACACACACACACACACACACACACACACACACACATACAGGATTACAGTAAGTACATTTGCTTTTGTTTATATGTGGCCAAGTATCCAGGTCAAACTTACAGTACAAATATCAGCTCATTCCCTTTATTCACCACAGAGATCACCACAGCTGAATGAGCCGCCAACTTATCCATCATATGTTTGATACAGCGGATTCCCAGGACTGGGTTGCAGCTGAAAGTGCAACATCCATACACTCTCATTCTTACTCATACTCTACAGCCAATTTAGTTTATTTGATTCCCCTGTGGGCGAAGCAGTGGCGCAGTAGGGAGTGCTGTAAGAAGGTCGCTGGGTCGCTGGTTCGAGCCTCGGCTCAGTTGGCGTTCCTGTGTGGAGTTTGCATGTTCTCCCTGCGTTCCCTGTGTACTGGGTAGGCTAAATTGTCAGTAGTGTATGAGTGTGTGGATGTTTCCCAGAGATGGGATGCGGCTGGAAGGGCATCCGCTGCGTGAAAACTTGCTGAATAAGTTGGCGGTTCATTCCGCTGTGGTGACCCCGGATTAATAAAGGGACTAAGCCAACAAGAAAATGAATGAATACACGGAGATTAAGGTGAAAAGGAGGCATGTCTGGGTATGCTGTACACGCCCCAGTTCCTGTGACTCCACCCCCTTATCAAATCAGGGCCAGAAAGTGAAACGAACAGAAATGTGAAGTGCAAACAGAAAACAGCATCGCAAACTCAAGGTTGACTGAAAAGCAAATCAAAATGAGCATTGCAATTGACTTGAGGGGTTTTGTAAAGACAATACTGGATAAAATTATTTAGAAAATATATGTATATTTTTAAAAACTTGATTTTTATTTGCAGTTCTTTTTTTTTGTTTGCAAAATTTCATTTTATTTTTCCAAGCTCAATTTTCCCCTTGCGATTCTTTAAGATTTTTTGAGATTTCTTTTTCGTTTGCAAAACTTTCTTTTATGTTGCAAGTATATATGGTTTTAGATTGACTCCATAGGAATCAGAATGTGAAAAGGCATATCCTAAATAAATAATAATAAATGTTAAAACAAAAGTGCAAGGTAAAGAGTAACAGAGGCTGCGATAACTGCTACCGGATCTATTTTCAGTTGTCAGACACCCACATGAAATTATACTAGGGTTGGGCCGATAGACAACATGATGCTGAGCCGGCATCGGCGCAAACACCGATTGCGAAAAATACACACTTAGACCCCATTTACACTAAGCGTACGTTCACACCGAAAGCGGCGAGAGCGTCAAAGTAGCTGGAAGTCATTCAGTTTCAATGAGAGCCGGCGGTGATAAGTGGCGAGGAGCAGCGCGGCGTGTCTTCTCCGGCGTGGGCGTTGAGGAGAGTTGAAATCAAGTCAACTTTATGGTAATGAGCTATGACGTGGTTCGCCGGCAAGCAATCAGAATGAAGACGTCCACCGCTTGACAGGAGTTCAGAGAACACAGACCTGTGAACTTTGGTTTCGACCACAGTTGTTCCCAAGGGTTTGATGATTGCGGTCGCCGGTTTCCAATTATTTACAATGTTTTTTTTACAGGAACATGCATTAAATAA